CTATTTCCCAGTTTTTATTATTTAACCTATTTCAAGCGAATGGATCAATATTGTAGTAATCAAGCGTTAAGAGAACTTTATTACTTTTCAATTAATATTCATATATAGGTACTAATACTAAATAAATGTTTAACAGACTCTTAAAATTCTGACTGGAGGATGAAATATTTTTGAATCCCATTATGAGTCAAGCGATTGCGGTTTAAATACTTAAAGATTAGTAGAAAATTTTAACTTCAAGCAGATTTATTAATACATTTCTCTGATTTTTTTCCTCAATTAAATAAAAAATATATCACTTAACATTAGTAACGCATAATCAAGAAATCTTCTCCATATATAAAAATCAATTACTGTCCGTTAGTGTCGCTAAAATACAAAAAACCTCGGCTGGACCGATTGTTATGAAATTTTTAGTGTGTGTTTGAGCGAATCCCTGCACGGTTTAAATTGACAATTGGACACGGTACGTAGCGTTATTGCCGGCAACACACCTGCAATTCCCCTGGTGTAGCGCTTGTTCATGGGCGGCGCGGCGGTAGTCACTTACCATCAGGTGAGCCGCAGCTCTTTTGCCCCCTCTTCTATATAAATAAATCCAGATATCACCCGTGCGAAGCCGGGTGAATCGGTAGAATCATATAAAAGTAAAATGTTTTGTTATACGTCGTCTGTCCAATGAACTTATAATATATATTTCATTATCATAAATTTAATAATGAAAATATCAATTGTTTATCTTTAGTCGTCCAAGGGACAGATACATTATCATCAGATAGTCGAGTTCATAGAACACACTCTCTCTGTAGAGGTCGAGTTATTCGTTATATTTTCGATTCGATTCGTTATATTTTGATCCTATAAACGTTTATCCAAGGATCAAAAAATCGGCCCTTACTAGAAAATATCCCCTAAAGTATATGTACCTACTATTTTTGATATATCCTAGAGTAAATATATGTAAAAAGCAGTGGAACGAACGACATAAAAAACACTAAAGTGCCTACATTATTTATTTGCTAACAACAATGATGTCTTTTGCAGTTTAATAAAGATTATTCAGTTCAAAAATGCATACTGTGACGAGAATGAAATTGTTAATTGCTATTTTATAGTGCTCATTCATAAAAAAGGCCATCGGAAGAAACCAACACTTTAATAAATATATTTCCAAACGTTGAAATCTAGGTTAAGTAATTCCTAGAATCGCTAAATACCTACAGATAAATCAAATTTTAAACTTAAGGGATGTCTACCGATATAATAAAGAATATGTTTTTAAGAATTTATCACACGTCGCAAGGTTTTTTTTTTTGTTTAGCTTCATATTAAATTAAAAGTTATTTTTATGTCTATGGGTATTTTATGTGGTGAATAAATGTCATGTTATTACTATTATTATGTGATTAACCTCCTACAAGCCTTTGCCTGCAGCTTCACCATAATCATCAACCAGCTAAAGTCCAGCGGCAGTCACACACAGCTGTACATAGGCTTTTCCCAAGGCTGATCTTCGGCTGCACGCATCCATTTGCTATCAGCCGTCATGCGCTGATCATCGCTCCATCTAGCAAAAGGAAACCCCTTTGTATTCCCACATTGCATTAACCTTAACACAGTCTCCAGTTTATGACACGTTTAGTCCAACAGATCACACTTATGCGACAGCTGTGATCAGCTTATTGCCACTTTAGTTTTAAAGTTTCTTCTATAAGGTATTTGTAGCAGCCAGATTAATCAAACCTAAACGGGAATAAATAATATATACTCCGCTGCTACCATAACGCGGAAGGCGAGAATAAATAAAAAAACATTTTATTTCCTAATTATTCTTGGCTACTGAGATACTGCGGACTGTATATAGATAATTTGACGTTCTTATAAAGAAACAAGAAGCAGCCGCAAATATCATTCAGCGCCACACCGACTTCACACGCCGCTATCGTCACGTATCCGTCGACCAATGGTGAGCCGTTTCTTCAACGCCGCAGTTCGTTTCCTCTTGCTGTTCCGGAGCTGTATTCCACGCCGCCGCCGCCCGCCGACTACGCGTGCGCACCGATCTGCATGTCTTATATAGCCCGGTCCAGCGACGTAGCTTCGTGAACAACAAACAAGTCTCACGCCGGGAAACGAAACGTAGATAATTGTATATTTTAAATAGTTTTCATTGGTCATAAAATAAGCAATATAATTGGCTAGGCAAAATATTAATTGTTACCATTGGCAAATCAATAGTGAGCCAGCCATATAAATATAGGCAAGGTTGATGCAAAAGATATTCCATTCCGAATCCCATTCGACAGTACATTCTAAATTCATACTCCGCTTTGCTTATAAACAGTAGTTTCATTTCTCCACCTTAAAGAAAACCACTCGGAGTCTGTTAATAGTGGACAGTTCGTCTCCACTATTACATATTAGTCGTTGGAATGTACTTTCATTTTTAAAAACTATTGATAATGTCGCACTCTCACTTTGAATAATTTCGTTTAATTACAACAAGATACAATTACAGATAAAATTATAACAAGAAACTAACCTATATTTATATTTTAAAACTCGAAAAACTTCGATTCGAAAGTGTTCAAAGTGTGAAAGATTCTGTACGAGCGGATTCGTAAGTTCAACTAATAAAAATCAAAGTCAAAGTCAGATGCCGTCCTATCGGATTATAAATATGCACACACTAATTCTATTTTACACAGGCCAGTCGACACACACGTATAATATATATATATATATATATATATATATATATATATATATATATATATTTTTTTGATATAAGTTTTTAATAGAGTAAGTGGATTATAGACATCTATGATCTACATCTATTCTCAATAAAGAATCAAAATGCGGACGGATACTTTGCTACCCCTGAGGACTAAGATGGAATGACTTGTTTACAGTTAAAGGGGTCTCTGGTTATCTACACTTACTATACGAAACACAGCAGCATTTGATTGCTATTTTGCACTGGTTCTGTGAGAGCGTGGTCTTTCCCGGGTCGAGCCAACCTACAACTACAATATGGCTGCAGCATGACTCTACCGCGGTTAAGATAAAATATAGCAATATGTAATATTACGATGTATTTTATATAATAATCTTTGAATAACCTCACACGCAGCTATAATACATATTTTAAAATATGACACATGTACTACGATATTAACTTATATTGAAATATATCAATTGCGATATAGGCCATGTTTGAAAACACTATAAGCCGTTAGGCCTGCGCCTGACTTTCCTCTGATCAAATCAGAATGCCGTCCCATCGGACTATTTCTACGTGGTAAAGCCACGCTGCAGCTATATTATAGTTGTAGCACGATTGGATCGGCTCGACCGTGGTAGGACCATTCTCTTACAGAATACCAGCGTAAAATAGCAGCGTAATACTGCTGTGTTTCGTATAGTTTTTACTGGAATTGAGGCATTTCATCATAGTCCTCAGAGGTGACAACGCATTTGCATCTTGATTCTTAATTGAGGATAAATTTGGATGGCTATGGGCCACAGCATCTACTTACCATTAGGTGGACTGTGTGCTCGTTTGTCACCCAATGCTATAAAAAAAAACTATGAAAGTGTCCTCCTTCCTCATGGTCCGATGCAGATGTACGAATGGTTAGTCTCCATTAAAACTAGCCGCCGTGACTGAAATTCGTTCTCGAGATTATTATAATACATCGTCAATTCGATTAATGTATGAAGCTACATAATATACAATATCAACCTTAAATTTATTAAATCATCATCATTATCCTTATAGCCCAAAACAAGTACACTGCTGAACATAAATCCCCAAAGGAATGCCACATAGCACGGGCCTGAACCCTGAACCGCCTGCATCCATCCTGCAACCTGCATCCTGCATTTCTTACCAGGTCGTTACTCATTTGTTTTTCACCGCCCTACTGTTTGCTTGCCGGAACATAAGCGTAAGTAATTTATTAAATTCTTGGAATTTTTTTCCAGATTGGTCGTAATCGAAATTGTAGTTATTCTTTGTATGCTATTCAATCTAGGTAGTTCATCTTTTATTCCCGGCAACGTACATATCGAATTCAGTATCGGAATCGTCCTCTGAAGTACTATCAATTAAATCCAATAATAATATGTTTGTTAGATATACAGGATTTAGAACTTGGAACATCCTTCATTATAAATGTGTAGCAAAAACATACACTTGCCAGGACTACCAGGAGGATATGAGTATTGAGGGCTACATATTTAACCTATAGTTTTATTATAAACATAATTTTCCAAAAGTTACTTTCAGATTCTCGTAAGTTCTTTGAGTATTCAACCAACATTACAGTAGAGTATTCAACATTGGTTTAATACTCAAAGCGTAAGTGGCATAGTTTAACCACAGACATGATTTATTTAAATATAATTATTTATTAATTAGAGTTTTTACGTTACAACAAAACATCAAATACCTATCATTCGCAGTGAAGGTGTTTGAAATGAGCAGCAATAACAAAAGACTTGTGACGTTTGTACTTTTATCTTTTTATCATATGCAATGTCATAAACAAGTTTTAATAATAGGATGAACGTTTTATGATGGGATATTTATTTGTAATTTAGGGTCAGTTGACATTGGAATACACCGGGCGAATGATAATGAAAATCAGTTAGGAAAAATATTACATACATACATAAACACTCACGCCTGTCATCCAGTGGGGTAGGCAGAGACGGACTTCCATTTGGGACGATCCTAACGCAGACACACCTCTCTCGCCTCCTTTAAATGACGCATACGTGCTCGAAGTTCACTACCCAGGAAATCAGGACGATAACATCTTGATAACTAACTCTGAGGCTAATACCAGCGCTTCAGCTCAACCATGTAAGACACCAGCTGCCGTTCCACTACCCAGTACCAGCTCCGAAATTGGAACCACACCACGAAGCACAACCTGTTCCTAAAACAAGTATCATAATGGAAAACTAAAAACTTAGAGCTGAATGAAGACCAGATGAGGTTTCGGGGATCTTCCAAGTTACCAAATGAAACACTGGAATTGAAGACGCTTTATCGGGTATTTTCTTATTTATTTACTGACGAAATTGTGGTTCTGATTAGAGACGAAACTAACCTGTACAGCGTGCAAAAAGATGCCAATAAACCTATAAACGTCACAAGCCAGGAAATAAGGGAGTTTGTTGGAATTACTTACTTCATGTCCATAGTTCATCTGCCTAATGTGCGAATGTACTGGTCAGAAAAATATGGCTATGCCCACATACGCGAGACGATGCCGCTAAAACGGTTCGAGTTTCTGAGGCAAGTACTACACTTCAATGATAATTCTATAATGCTACCATATGGTCAGCCAAACTCTGACAGACTGTATAAAATCAGACCCATAATACAAAAACTGAACCGCAACTTTGGAAAAGTACCACTAGAACAACATTTGTCTGTTGATGAACAAATGTGTTCAACCAAAACACGGAGTGCTCTAAAGCAGTATTTGCCAGAAAAACCCCACAAATGGGGCTTCAAACTGTTTGCGATTTGTGATGTAAGTGGATACGGTTACAAGTTTGAAGTATACAGTGGCCAGGAGAATATATGCGCAGATGGCGAGCCTCAATTAGGTGCCTTATCCAATGTAGTAGTCCGACTTGCCAGAGAGATTCCTGTCAACCAAAACTATAGACTGTTTTTTGACAACTACTATACATCCCTACCTTTGATGGAGTTCTTATCACACCGTGGTATATTAGCTTTGGGCACCGTTAGGAGAAACTGCATCCCTAAATGTAAGCTCCCAGATGAGAAACAGCTGAAAAAAGCACCCAGAGGCACGTCAGTCGAACAGGTTGCAAGCTATAACGGTATTAACATATCAGTGGTGGCCTGGCGAGATAATAAAATTGTGAACCTAGTATCCAACTTTGCTGTCAAAAATCCCACATCTGTTGTGAGTAGATTCGACAAGTCGCAAAAGAAACACATCAATGTGGAACGGCCTTTTATAGTGGCAGAGTATAATCGTCACATGGGGGGTGTAGACCTTATGGACTGTGTAATGGGTCACTATAAAATAAAACTTCGTAGCAAACGTCATAGCAAGACTCTTTTATCATTTTCTCGACATGACCATGACTAATTCTTGGTTATTATTTAGAAGGATTTATACTGACACTGAAAATACTGAGAAGCTGCTAAGTTCTGCAGATTTTCGACTTGAAATTGCTGAAACATTAGTAAGATATAAAAAGACGAACCGCCTGAAGCGCACCAGTGACGTGGAAGCACTCTTCCAAGACAATAAGAAAAAAGGGCTTTGTCACCACATCCCGCCGAAAGATGTTCGGCTAGAACAGTTAAGGCACTGGCCAGTTTGGACGGAAAAAAGGCTTCGGTGTAAATGTCTAGGCTGTACTGGAACAGCCCAAACCGAATGTGAAAAGTGTGGCGTAGACTTATGTTTCAACAGAAATAACAACTGTTTCCGTTCCTTTCACAATTCGTAAGTTACGAAAAGACGGAATCCATTCACAACTAACGTTTTTATTTGTTTTCACGTCATGATGCACATCTGCATCACGTTGTATTTCTCCAAAAATAAATACTTTTTTACGTCAAAAACTAGTTCTTGCGCCGTAAAGGGTTAATATATTATATTAACCCTTTACGGCGCTTTATTATAATATACATATATATTTTTATATAATATAAATATATAAAAGTACAAATATATATTTTGAAACTATTACATATAATAAATATGCTATACGTATAGTGTAGCTAGATAAAGGTAGAATGAATATAGTATACATATAAATTGGATAGAATCATAGTTGAAAATAATAGAATATAGAATCATAGTTGCGAGGGGCTTTTGCCAAAGTATTTTATCATTTATCATACAAAGAGTCCTAAACACAATAAATAACTGATGTAGGGATAACAGTTTATCCGTTAACGCTGATAAAACTGTTATAATACCCTTTACCAAGCGACAGTTGGACAAATTAGTCACACCAAAACTCAATGGGAAACAAGTACCATTCTTCACTGAAGTCAAGTACATGGGCGGAACAATCGACCAAAAACTAACGTGGAACACTCACCTTAGCAACGTATGCCATTTTTTTATTTATTTAAAAAAAACAACAACAGCGATTTAACAATTGTAAAGACTTAAAGTATACAACTTAAATGTAAGGCCTATTAAAGGTTTTTCAGTTATATAAACAAAATATATTATGGACGGTACTATTTAACTATTATATATATAGGAGTTGCTAAGAATCTCCGGTGGAGGTTCGGTTGCCACCTACGACGATTCGACCTGGCAACATTTAACGCACGCACCCTGAGGACTGACGAGAAGATCCTGGAGCTGGAAGAAGAGATAGACAAGTTGCGCTGGAATATTATAGGATTATCCGAGGTCCGAAGAGAGGGGGAGAACACGGTGTTCTCGAATCCGGCAACTTGTTCTATCACCGGGAGGGCGACCATCTGTCCCAAGAAGGTGTTGGATTTATCGTCCAAGAGTCTCTCGTTAACAACGTTTTAAAGATTGGGAGTGTATCGACGAGGGTTGCGTACCTTATACTCAGAATCACCAAACGGTATTCGCTGAAGGTCATACAGGTTTACGCGCCAACGTCGGAACATCCCCATGAGGAGGTGGAGGAAATGTATGAGGACATTTCTAGAGTCATGCATTCCTCCAAAACTCACTATACGGCGTTAATGGGTGACTTCAACGCAAAACTGGGCACAAGAAAGAACGATGAGCTGAAGGTAGGGAAATTTGGGATAGGGCCGTTGCCCTATCCCAAATTTCCTTTGAATCCAAGGGGCCAGCAGCTGGCTGACTTCATGGAGAAAGGACTATATGACGAACTCTTTCTTCCAGAAGCGGCCCCACAAAAAGTGGACCTGGTCGAGCCCCGACGGTTTAACAAAAAACGAGATTGACTTCATTATGACGACCAGACACCAACTGTTCAGTGATGTCTCAGTAATTGCAAGGGTGAAAACTGGCAGCGATCACTGAATGGTTTGGCATACTGAACCTAAACGTTGAGTTGGAGAGGTCTCGTCTAATAAAGTCAACGCTCCGTCCCCCTCGTGCTCTAATCCAGAATCCCGAAACCTAGAAGATTGCAATTCAGTGGGCGATATGAATGACAAGCTCCTGGAAACTGTCCATGTGGTCGGAGCTAAGTTCTGCAAGACACGCCGCAGTAGAACACAAAAACTCTCCGATCACACTATTAATCTCATGGCTGTTAGACGGGAGATGAGGCTGCAGTCGTCAACAGATTTGACAGCATATAGGCAACTGAACAGACAGATCTCCAAATGCATGCGGCGAGACTTACGCAACTTTAATACTGCTCGTATTAAAGTAGCGATCGAGCGGAACCAGTGCTTCAAAGTCTTTGCCAGAGATCTGTCTGCCAGAAAGAGCCAACTGTCAAAGTTGAAGACTGAGTGTGGCAGCATTGTTTCCGGAACACCTGAGATTTTGAGTGAGATTGAGAGGTTCTATGGGCAGCTGTACACATCATCGTTGGAGCCACACGCAAGTGTGAGTAACGATCCTAGAGCAAGTCTTATCCGACACTATTCCGATGACATCCCGGACGTCAGTCTGAGCGAGATTAGAATGGCTCTCCAGCACCTTAAAAACGGCAAGTCCCCGGGCGAGGATGGAATTACAGCGGAGCTTCTGAAAGCGGGTGGAACACCGGTACTTGAAGTCCTTCAGAAGCTCTTTAATTCCGCCCTCTATGGTGGCACTACTCCGGAGGCGTGGAGCAGAAGTGCGGTGGTCTTGTTCTTCAAGAAAGGTGACAACGCCCTCTTGAAGAACTACAGACCGATATCCCTTCTGAGCCGCGTCTACGTGCTGTTTTCGAGAGTCATTACGAATCGTCTCGCACGCAGACTCGACGACTTCCAGCCTCCCGAACAAGCCGGTTTCCGAAAAGGCTTCCGTACCATAGACCACATACATACCCTGCGGCACATTGTACCCAAGAGTACAATCTGCCACTTTGCCTGGCGTATGTGGACTATGAGAAAGCCTTTGATTCCGACGAAATTTGGGCGGTGCTACAGTCCCTTCAGCGGTGCCAAGTTTACTGTCGGTATATCGAAGTGCTGAAGTGTTTGTACAGTAGGGCTACTATGGCTATCCGAGTACAGAACCGGAGTTCGAAACCTATCCAACTGCAGAGAGGTGTAAGACAGGGTGACGTTATATCCTCGAAACTCTTCACCGCTGCATTGGAAGATGTTTTCAAGCTACTGGACTGGAAAGGATACCGTATTAACATCAATGGCGAGTACATCACTCATCTTCGATTTGCCGACGATATAGTCCTTATGGCAGAATCACTGGAGGACCTAAGCACTATGCTCAATAACCTCAATGGTGTCTCCCAACGGATAGGTCTTAAGATGAACATGGACAAAACAAAGATCACGTTTAATGTCCATGTCACACCTATGCCGGTAGTTGTTGGGAGCACTATGCTCGAAGCTGTTGACGAGTACCTTTACCTGGGACAAATAGTCCGACTAGGTAAGTCCAACTTCGACCTAAAGGTCAATCGACGGTTTCGACTCGGCTGGGCAGCGTTCGGGAAATTACGACACATCTTCTCGTCAGGTATACCTCAATCTCTGAAAACTAAAGTGTACAACCAGTGCGTGTTGCCAGTGATGACTTACGGATCTGAGACGTGGTCTTTCACTGCTGGCCGTATGAGGACGCTCAAGGTCGCTCAGCGAGCTATGGAGAGGGCTATGCTCGGAGTTTCTCTGCGTGATAGACTCAGAAATGAGGATATCCGCAGTAAAACCAGAATGACCGACATAGCCCAACGGATTAGTAAGCTGAAGAGGCAATGGACCGGCCATATAGCTCGAAGAACCGATAACCGATGGGGAAGAAAGGTTCCCGAGTGGCAGCCTCGTACCGGTAGGCGTAGTGTAGGGTGACCCCCCACTAGATGGAGTGACGACCTGGTAAGATATGCAGGAAGTCGATGGATGCAGGTGGCTCAGGACCGTGCTTTGTGGCATTACTTGGGGGAGGCCTATGTTCAGCAGTGGACTTGTGAAGGGTTGTAATGATGATAATGATGAATGTACCAGCGCGAAAGAAACAATATGCGCAATGCTCTTGTAACATGTTATAACTTTTGTTTCATTTCTCTCTTTTCATTGAAATGTAAACCTGATTACGCAAAATCAAGTTTGTACAAAAATTACTGGTTTGTTGTTGGCCCTGAAACTAGTTAAACAGTTATGTGTCCCGAAGCTATGTATTGTAAATAGTGTCGCATAACGCACAAAAGTATCTATGTGTTTTTGGTAGGTTTGATAAATTTGACTACGCTTGATAAAGATGTATTATATTATATTGTATTATATAGTACTAGAGGGAATAAGAATATACAAGAGGTAGACCGAGCTTAATCAGTGCCGAATTAATCACGTAGCAAGAGTAGCTATTGTTACGGGCCCCGCGTATCCAAGCATCCCATTATCGCCTAAGCGTAAATTTTTAAGTAAAACTTATTATGACGGTACATTCAATTTACTTGATGTCACATAAACGTGAAACGTTGCAAATGACAATCGGTAACTGATTATTTCATTGGTGAAAATGAAACACATAATTTTATACAGTAAACTCACAAGTTTCATCGCTCAACACGCCGAATGGCGCTGTTCTCATACTACTGATCAAAGATCTGTTTACGGTTTTGCCTAGGCATATGGTCTAACACAACTGATCACTGCCCACGCAGATTAAAAATGTGGAGGATGATATACCTCCCCTGTTGGACGTTCTGCTGACCTCTCATACTAGCATCCTAGCTATAAGATCTCTGTCGATGCCCCTCTTGGCTCTGCGGATCATTTCCTGATCCGGAATACATTGTCTATCACTTGCTCATTTCAGACACGATCTGTACGCTGCCGCCGCTATAGATTGATTAGGATGGTATGTGGGATTTTTTCGCATCCTACCCACGGGAGGCGGATTATCTTCTCGCTAGATAATCTCAAAAAATTCGTTGCTGAGTCTGGCGCCGATCTGGTGCTTCAGGTGATGGAACTTTTGTTTCCATC